CAGAGACAGCGGGCTTGCCGAGTGATGGAGGCGGGCTAATGCTTAAAGGCCCCTGACTGAGGGATTATGCGTGGAAGGCACCGTCCGCCGGGGGGCTGTGTCTGGGAATGGGGACCCACTCTCTGACCCTTCCAACTCATACTTACCTGGCAGGGGGAGATACCATGATCAAGAAGGTGGCTCACCCAGGGCGAGGCTCGGCCATTGCACTCCGGCTGTGCTGACCCCTGCGAATTCCCCAAATGTGGGAATCTCGACTGCATAATTTCTGGTAGTGGGGGACTGCGTTCGCGCTCTCCCCTGATCATTGTGTGGAAGAAAAAGACAAAACAGCCCTCGGCTGCCATGCGTTTCACCGTGGCTACTTGTGAGGCACCGTGGTTGTGGAAATGTTCGGTTCTTTGCTCACTTTGGCCCTTAGTCCAGAAGGTGGCAGTGTTGCCGCCATGGAAAAATTGGGCGTGGCTTTTAACATGGGGCTGAATGCATTGCCTGAACTCCTCTCTTCAATTGTCCTTCCCTCTGTGTAAGAACTGTGCTCCAGACATTCTTCCACTGCTAAGCACGCCTAGGTTGTAGGCTTTTGCGCAGTCGTGCGGCTGTGTCCAGTTCCTCCGAGACAGAGACAGCGGGCTTGCCGAGTGATGGAGGCGGGCTAATGCTTAAAGGCCCCTGACTGAGGGATTATGCGTGGAAGGCACCGTCCGCCGGGGGGCTGTGTCTGGGAATGGGGACCCACTCTCTGACCCTTCCAACTCATACTTACCTGGCAGGGGAGATACCATGATCAAGAAGGTGGTTCACCCAGGGCGAGGCTCGGCCATTGCACTCCGGCTGTGCTGACCCCTGCGAATTCCCCAAATGTGGGAATCTCGACTGCATAATTTCTGGTAGTGGGGGACTGCGTTCGCGCTCTCCCCCTGATCATTGTGTGGAAGAAAAGACAAAACAGCCCTCGGCTGCCATGCGTTTCACCGTGGCTACTTGTGAGGCACCGTGGTTGTGGAAATGTTCGGTTCTTTGCTCACTTTGGCCCTTAGTCCAGAAGGTGGCAGTGTTGCCGCCATGGAAAAATTGGGCGTGGCTTTTAACATGGGGCTGAATGCATTGCCTGAACTCCTCTCTTCAATTGTCCTTCCCTCTGTGTAAGAACTGTGCTCCAGACATTCTTCCACTGCTAAGCACGCCTAGGTTGTAGGCTTTTGCGCAGTCGTGCGGCTGTGTCCAGTTCCTCCGAGACAGAGACAGCGGGCTTGCCGAGTGATGGAGGCGGGCTAATGCTTAAAGGCCCCTGACTGAGGGATTATGCGTGGAAGGCACCGTCCGCCGGGGGGCTGTGTCTGGGAATGGGGACCCACTCTCTGACCCTTCCAACTCATACTTACCTGGCAGGGGAGATACCATGATCAAGAAGGTGGTTCACCCAGGGCGAGGCTCGGCCATTGCACTCCGGCTGTGCTGACCCCTGCGAATTCCCCAAATGTGGGAATCTCGACTGCATAATATCTGGTAGTGGGGGACTGCGTTCGCGCTCTCCCCTGATCATTGTGTGGAAGAAAAAGACAAAACAGCCCTCAGCTGCCATGCGTTTCACCGTGGCTACTTGTGAGGCACCGTGGTTGTGGAAATGTTCGGTTCTTTGCTCACTTTGGCCCTTAGTCCAGAAGGTGGCAGTGTTGCCGCCATGGAAAAGAGTATAGTGTAGGTGGTGAAGCTTTACATAATTTCTTCTTGGTGGACAGGAGGCTGTTACAGTTTTTTACGATTGTTTACGCACTAAAACAAAATTGCCCACATAATTTGCGAAATTCTACTCTAAGGAGCAAAACACCTCCACAGATTTGCACAACATTACACACAATATCTGCTTCAACCTTTTTGCAAAACATTACACACTGTGATTTGCAAAACTCTACACACATTTTCACACCTTAGACACAGATAAGGATTGTGAGGTTACTTCCTTGTCATTACAAAGCCCCAGATTGCCAATGACCACACTAATGAACAAATTGGATAATCACATCCACCAGGTGTGGAAGCACACATGTGCTAATTTGAAAACGCAGCATTCAGCCAGACGGAGAGATGATGAATAGTTACAGTATTCTTGTTTTTTTTACAGTAGTTTTTCTTCAGAGTCAAAGTGTATGTACTTCATGCAGTAATTTTTATTTGTCTACAGATTTTATTTGTTTCATTGATTTCATTGTTGGTTGATTACTGTAACTGATTATGGTAAGAAATACTGTAAGTATTGAAATAAATACTTGAAATATTCAGTCTGCAGCATCAGTGTTGTGCAGTGCTTGGTAAGTTTATAGTAGGCCTATTTGTGTACATTCTCCCTATATCTCAAACTAATCATGAAGAATGTTGTGGGTTTGTCACTATTTTTTTTGACATCTAAATTATCCCTTACATAACAATGTCTGGCCAAAAATCTAGCACATGCTATTTCCTATTTTCCAACAATACTGTAACTATTCATCATCTCTCCGTCTGGCTGAGTGCTGCGTTTTCAAATTAGCACATGTGTGCTTCCATACCTGGTGGATGTGATTATCCAATTTGTTCATTAGTGTGGTCATTGGCAATCCGGGGCTTTGTAATGACAAGGAAGTAACCTCACAATCCTTATCTGTGTCTAAGGTGTGAAAATGTGTGTAGAGTTTTACAAATCACTGTAATGTGTGTAATGTTTTGCAAAAAGGGTGAAGCAGACATTATGTGTATTTGTTGTGCAAATCTGTGGAGGTGTTTTGCTCCTTGGAGTAGAATTTCGCAAATTATATGGAAATTTTTATTTTAGTGTGTAAACAATCGTAAAGAACTAGTTTTTTTTTACAAATGTGTTTTTTCTTTATCACAGCAGTGTGAAACTGGCTGCAATAGTGTCTGATCATTGAGGACTGTGTTGGTTAAATGAAAACTAATAGCATTTTCACAAATATGTGTATATGTTTTGACTGAAGTGTGTCATTTTGCAAACAATCTAGGAATTATGCAAAGTGAGTGTGGTGTTTGGATAATTGTGATTATATTTTGAAAAAAAGAACAGTCAGTTCTTCTACTGATGTTTGTGTTTGTACTTAGTTGCAGAATCCTATGGTTTTAAATCTAGGATCAAGCAGTGTTGAAAGGTTCAGTGCAGTTTGGTTCCCTGTAGTTTCAAATTTGTTGAGCATCACTGACACCAAGTTTAGCGGTGTTGTGACCCTGAGACTCTCTTCTCCTCAGACAGTTCTACTGTTGCCTGGCACAAGGGGGCAAGCAATTGCAGGCATGCAGCAGCTGTTTCATAGTCCTCAAAGGACAGAGGTCTCATGTCTGTTCACATCGTCACAAGAGCTGCCCCCACTGAACAAACGTGTGGAGTCGAGGTATAACAGACAGTTTATGCCAGGATCGGAAAAAACAGAACAGTGTCAAGTGTCTTTAAAGAAGGACACCATTAAAGTACTAAGGGTATATATAGGAACAGTTATGGAGTCTTTCAACTGGAAGGTAAAACTCCCAAAAGTCCAAAGAAAACAGATGCAGTGGAAAGATAGGGACTTGTCCCTACTTGACTCGTAGTGAATACTGGCTTCACTAAAACATCTAGCAAGCACTCTCCCAGTTCCTTGCAATATCATGGTGTCCTTAAGGAAAATCATCTTCCAGTTCAATTGGGGAGGGAAACAGGAGAAGTTACCAGAGCTTGAAACAAAACTAAAGGCCATGTTCATAACACCAGTTGTAAAGGTCTGTTTGAGTAGCAACTTAGAGGCCCTGTGGAGGTATTTTGCTTCCCTTTGGGTAGGTCGAAAGGTACTGTGAGTGTGGGGTAGCAGATCCACACACAACGTCCCCCACACTTATAGTTTCCAGGAATTTACACTGGTATAACAAAAAGCCTACTTTGTCTGAAATTCCACAGGCCAAAATAACAAGAGCAGCTGTTGAGTCGGCTTTACTGCCCCAACTCTCAAGGATGGCTCCATTAGACAAAAGACAAACTGATGGAAACAAAATGGAAATCAGTTATCTTCCCCTGGACAAAACCAAAGACTGTACATCTTTCTCATCTTTAGACCGCTCAATGCTCTGTACACTACATGCTACACTCACACATTCATACACTGATGGCAATTGCTGCCATGCAAGGTGCCAATTGCTCACCAGAACAGAAGCATTCACACACATTTATACACCAAGTCGCAGCATCAGGAGCAATGTGGGGTTCAGTATCTTGCTCAAGGACACTTCGACATCCACCAACCTTTTGATTAGTAGATGACTCGCTCTACCTCTGAGCCACTGCCGTGGACAAGCATCGTCTTGTTGTTGATTCTTTTTTCTCAGGCCCTAGTTTAACCAGCAGTTTGGACTTGGGAGGACATTTGTACTCAGATTAGCAGCTAATGACAAAGATCTCTGAAGCAGTTGAGGAGGCTCTAATGTTGCGTTCCCACCAAAGGCAAAGCGAGTATTCACCTCTATTTATGTCTTTGTTTGTAATTTACAGTGTTAATAATTTTATTCGCCTTGGTGGCAACGCAGCATAACACACACTGCCTAGCCGTGTCAGACATCAGCCACTAGATGCCGGCAGCACTGCATGTCTTAAATAACAACAACTCAGACCAAACTTCTTACCTCACGTTACGTTTGGTTGCCTAGAGCAGTGGAACATTTTTCCTTATTTTCTTTTCTATCATTGAGAGATTGACTAAGTGAGATATTTTATGGATATTTCATAATATATTCAATGCATAACAATAACAGTAGATAACTGATAAGCTGTACAATGAACCCAGTGAACTGGATGAGAGATGAGTTTTCCTATTATTTTTAGGGACTTTCATACAATTCTGTGTCTGTATTATGGGCCTAGAGGTGTGAATCTTGATTGGCCTTGTGATACCTGTCAACAATTCAGTGTCTCTCAATGTATTGAATCCTCAGTCTTCTATATTACTCCACAAGGCTACTTTCTCATCAATTAATACAAGCAGTCAGAAAACTCAATTTTTATTTAGAAAGTGCATTCAAAAATCAGACTACAACTGTCTACAATATAAAAAGCTGCACCTACCAGTATCCGTAAACATAACAGACATAAACAAAACTATTGCTATTATTGAAAGGAGTCAGTCATGACAGAAGTCTAGGAATCACATGTAATGGCTACTCGACTAGCTTTACTCCTGGGCTTTGGTTGCACCGTAGAGTGCAGGTATTGTGAATGACATAAATCAACAGTCAACATTAGTTGGTTATAATTTTATGTAGCCTGAAAACCCAATTATGTAGTGTCACTGCATCGATGTAGAATCATCTTTACAACACCAATCTACTGTATGGAGGTGACAACATGAGAAGGGTGATTAAGATATGTCACACAGCAAAACTAGACGTGCACAATGTATTGTTATTAATATTATTACATTGGTGGAGACACAAAGTCCAAGTTATCACACTTTAACACCAGAGTAATCCGTTTGTAACGGACGGAGAGTTCATGGTTCATGGACTCAATTCAATTTAAAGCAGAGAAAAAGTCCTTTGTGGTCATTTCGTCTTAAGAGAGTCCACAGAGCATCTCGCTGACCTCCCACAGTTTCCGGGCCACAACGTCGTCTCGGGCCCGGGCGCATACTTCCTGTACGGCGCAGCAGGAGAAATAACGTCCGCTCAGAGGTTCGATTCCCTCCTGCAGGCAGCAGTGCAGCGTGGTCTGAGCTCCGGCCTCCGGGTCCAGAAACAGCATCTGGGCCACGGGCTCGATGAAAACCTTCTGCCACAGGCTGACGTGACGTGACAGCTCGGTCCGAACAACACCTGGAAAACGGGAGGGTGGAGAGAAGCACGGTTTAAAAATAAGAAAAAATAAAAAGAGCTGCAGAATACGGGATTTTTAGGCTTATCACAGTTTAAAGATCAATTTCACACTCAATGTTGTAGGGAGGAAAAAGATCAAATAGTTCAAGTCTGATGCACTTCTGACCACACCCAACATCACAGGTGTGGTCTGTAGTGCTTGTGACCCAGCCAAAGCTATTTGATAAATACTGAGGTCATACCCTAAGCACTGTAGTACACAGGGGTGTGGGGGTGTGTGATGTGGGAGGTAACGATCAGATTTACAGATTTGTTGTCAATAGTTTGGAGCCAGGTCTTTAATTCTGGTGGAGAATAAGTTCCTTTCATTTTAACTGAATATAGTTTCCCTAAAAACCTGTAAAAGCTAATTTTAAGAAAGAAATAAGTAAAATAAGTTTGTGTAATTGTAGAATATAGATTTCTCTTACATTATAAACATCCCAAAATTTCAGAAATCCACAACCTCTGTGTCTTCACTGGACGTTACCACCAAATTCATGTTCCATGGTTCTCACCAACTTACAGACATTAATCTCTAACACATTTAATGAAAGAATGCAGTAAAAGTGAACTGGGGACTTCTTTGTGTCATGTGAAACTTTATACCTCAGGGCCAAGTGTTACTGCAACTGGCAGAAGCACATTAGTTGGATGTGAAGGTATTCTGTAAGAGCACGTTACCTGGGTGGACGCTGTAGCAGGTGACGTTGGTTCCTTTCAGCCTCTTGGCGAGCTCGTGGGTGAAGAGCACGTTGCACAGTTTACTGTTGCAGTAAGCCTGGAAGAACTGCCAGCTGTACCCGCCGGTGCCCAGGTCTTTGTTCGCCGCCAGAGCCTGAACACACAAAAACTCATTAACACAGGATCACCTGCAGCATTCCTGAGCGCAGGTGAGAGAAAATGACGACATCATCTATCCAAGTGCAGACTCTGAAGCCTCAAGCTGCAGACGAGGAATGTTCTCTGCAGAGAGTACGTACATATGAAGAAATTACATCATGTCACACCACAACGCGAAGGAATCCTGAAACCGAAGAACCAGTTCTGACGAGGAATGACTGTTCAGTAATCGAGGACAATTGAATCAGAGCCAGGATTCGAAGACTGACTCAGATTATTAAATTCTGATGGTGGGGCGCCCGGATAGCTCAGTGGGTAGAGCTGGCAGCCCATGTACTGAGACTGAGTCCTTGCTGCAGCGGCCCAGGGTTTGAATCCAACCTGCGGCCCTTTGCTGCGTGTCATCCCCTCTCTCTCTGCCCCCCTTTCCTGTCTGTCTTCAGCTGTCACTATAATAAAGGCAATAAAAGCCCCAAAAAATATACTTTAAAAAAAAATTCTGATGGTGCTGCATGTTACTGTATATCCCTGTGGGGGGGAGCAGCTATGAGTGGTAAAAGTACATGTTGTGCGGCACAATGTCTCCGTCTGTGACTGATATCTGATTCTATGTCATCAATGTTAGAGCAACATTTTACTGTTGGAGCTGCTCCAGGTAGAAGAATGAAATAATGGAAAACAATGAGAATTTGTTTTCACAAATCAGAACAAATGAAATCTCTCTTGTTCATACTATAGTAAGGCTTTACTATATTTACCAAGTTGTCTAATTTTAGTGAGAGCAACTGCAAGTGTTTGCTAAAATGTACTTTTGTGCATTTATATGATGTGTGTATATGTAAGCTTACCTCAAAGTCGACGTGTCCCCAGCGGTGAGCCATGGAGGACAGGGTGATCACTCGTCCTCCACCCGCCTCCTTCAGACGTTCCAGCAGCAGGCAGGTCAACAGGAAGTGTCCCAGGTGGTTCACCCCGAACTCGATGCCGAAACCGTCTTCTGTCCGCCCATCAGCCACCAGACCTACAGGACAGATAGAAGTTCACGTTTAGACTGTTTTAGACACGTCTGCGTTTCTTTATGCTGTGCACATAGCAGTCAAAGTCTGTTTCCCCTTAAATTTGTGTTTTCTTTTATCTTAATCTTATCTTATTCAATGGGGAAATACACTTAAAGAACATAATAGAAGCACTGGGCTAAGTTTGGTGTCAGCTCCGTCACCAAGAGGAGGAACACAATAATCCAAAGACGTCTGTCCCACTGAACATTTTGTTTTGTTCAACTAAACTAATGATGGCTGCATTCCTTATCAGGTGTGCCACTTTGTTGGTATTGTACCAGTTGCACCTAAATGAAACAGTAACGGGTGCAGTACACCTGTGCTTCTGCTGCCGTCACAGGCAAACTACCTGCTGTCAAAGAGACAAGAGGTCCAGCATTGTTAGCTTGTTTTGCTGGATAACATTACAAAATGGCTGCATTCTATGTAGGTAAGCTAGTTCCAAGATCCTCACGTATAAAACTCTGTAGACTCACGATGTATGAAAACACAAAGACAGAAATAGGCAACAGGTCCAGTTAGACTTTCAAAATAAAGTTTGCGTTGTTAAGCTTGTGAAATGATCATAAGTTACATGACGTAAGTTAAATCAGACTAATTGTTCACATTAAGTCTCATGTGAAGAGCAGGGTTAAAGTTCTGTTTGTTTGAACCATCCATTCACCCCAAACCTCCGTATGCAGACTTTTCCCGCTCTTTATACTGTGTCACCTGACTTCGACACAAGAGAAACCTACAGTGTCATTTTGAAGCGCCACTATTTGACGACTTGGGAGCGAGACTGAGATGTATTCTATCATTGAAACAGACTTAACTACATTTGTTTCACCTGTGCTCCTCATGCTTGACATAAATGTCTACATGCTGTGTGTGCTTAATGGAATTACCCTTTTTTATTATCTTTCATGTCATAGCTGCCATCTTAGATCACATTGTTATGTCACTTTTTTAACATGCCATAAGTAATTTGTCTGTAAGTAGTAATGTGTGTTTTTTTGCTTACCGGCGTTGTTAATGAGCAGATCCAGCCTCGACTCCGTTTTCATGAAAGTTTCAGCGAAGCAGCGTACGTTCTTCAGACTGGCCAAGTCCAACTGCATGTAGATCACGTCAGTGCTTCCTGTTTCCTGGAACAAGATCATTGGTGGAAGTTAACCGTTAGATATTTACTATAACTGACTGAGACTTGCTGTAGTTTGTGATAATAATTATTTTACCTCTCTTTAGTTACAAATGTTCCTCCCTGTTTTAATTTATCAGTTTCTCTCAGGACTTCACTAAACCTACAGTCCACTTTAAGCCCAACAAACGCTTCAGGTGACCTTTGGCTGCTGGTCAACTTCCATGCAGTGCACAGTGTTGAACCGCCATGTTTCTACAGTTGCACCGAAGGGACAAACCAAACACTTGCTCAGACAGAGTCAGACAATGAAAATGTTACAACCTGTAATTTTACACACTGTAATGGTGCAAAACACACACACACACACACACACACACACACACACACACACACACACACACACACACATCAGTACTATTAGTACTCAGTGCACATTTTGTTAAATTGTATTATTATGTCACTACTATGACTGGCAGTAACTAAGATTTTTGGATCAACTACCCCTCCAACCACACACACAGACACCAGTCATGTTAAAAAGTAATTCAAGTTTTTCTTGTACTCCTTATTACATAATGTTTACATTATGAACACACTGGCTTAAAAGAGCTCCAAGATACAGACAGAAACATCAAAAAATGTTACAGCCATCCACGTTTTTCCTTAACGAACACACAACTGTTCTTATTTTGTCTCTTGTTAAGGAATAAACACATTTATCTTTTTAATTTTATTTCAAGGAAGCAAGCTAATAACCAACCTAGAAATGTTACTGTAGTAACATAAAGGCAATTCAGCCTAACTATGAAAAGTGATATAAAACTGTCCGTCTAGTTAACAAACCTGTTTTTTCATGTTTTCATGTTCTGAATTATGCAACCACTCCTGAACAAGCAATCACATGCTGCAGGACAGTCACAGTGATTTCTAAAAACCCGAATGGAGCCTCTGATTGTCTTTGTCTCTACCTGTTGTATATCTGCGATGGCGGACTCGGCCTTGTCCCGGTTTCGGCAGGCCAGGATCACTCTGGCTCCCTTCCTGGCCAGGTGCAGAGCCGTGGCTTTACCGATGCCAGTGTTCCCTCCTGCAGCAGCAGAAAATAATAACACGTACACTTTAGAGTCAGTGACAAGTATTCAGTTTACAATCACAGCAAACAGAGAAAAGCAGGAAATCTGAGAGTTTGAAGAAGCTGGACAGTGATTGGTGCTTTCAATGAATGAGGAAAAGATTCTGCTGTTGAATTGTTTAATTGACTTATTGTTTCAGCACTTGTCCAAATCATTAAACTGATGTGTGTTCATATATTATGACATGTAAACAATAAATAAATCTAAATTCTATTTAGAAATAAAGTTTAATTTCTTTGCAGTGTTATTCACAGTTTACATATATATACATATACTTACAGACACACTCTTTTTTTTATCTGTAATGAAGCAGTGATAGCCCCCCCGCAGACTCACCTGTGATGATGATGGTCTTCCCGGCCATCGCTGCGTTTCCTTTACATTTGGATCTTTTGAAGAGGGTCTGTGTGAGGAGGATGTATCCTCCCAGGACCACGCCGGCCAGCAGCAGCAGGTGAAACATGGTTTAAAACAGCTGAGAATCACTGACTGACTCAGGAGCTGAGCTCTGTCTTTTATACACCTGGTGGGACTCACCTGCCCAACCAGTTATACCTGCCTGAGGTGGGCAGGTGAGTCACTGTTCGGGCTGGTCCCACCGGTTCTGCTGGCATTCCCCATCGATCAGCACTGGCGTTCAACTGAAACTCCTGCTGCTGTTTGACTTTTCACCCACTAATTTACCCTGAACCCTAGGGAGAGGTTAAAACTGAACTTCCTGTCGAAACCTTCAAAGTAAAACCCTTGTTGACAGATGTATTTTATTTATTTTCATACATTTGGTAAAAGGAAACAAAAAACTACGTTTATATAGCTATTAGGTTTATTTATGACACAAAACAAATAATAAAAACGAAGATAGAAACATTTATTTCTGTATTTCTATATCTGTTTCTGTTAAATTCTGCAGAAACAGAAAATATCATTTTGAAAAACAAACTGTAAATTGCTTTAATGCTTTATTATCCCTGTAAACATATTTATAGTGTACATACCCAAATGAGGTCATGAATAGCCACATTTTTATTTTTCTCACTTTATTATAATCAATAATTATCATCACGTGACAGATGAGACTACATACACCAAAGAAAGCAAACTGGAGAACTTCTCTCGTAATTATTACTAATTCTCTCATAATTCAACCCTCCTAAGCTCCGCCCCCTTTTGCTCTGTGCTCCAATCACAGTTGAGGACCTCAGTCAACTTCCTCCTTTCCTGTCCTTACATATGCTATATGCTAGGCTAATCTATGTTAAAAAACAACCACAATAAAAGAGTCAAGTATAAATTAGTATATATAGTCAAATCGACATAAATTACTCGGCTAGATAGCATTGTGCTCACATTAGCTAACGTAAGATGTATATATATATATATCTTATATGTGGAAGAAGGATAGCACTGGGACCCAGCCAAAGGGGCGGAGTCTATAAGAAGGGGAGGGAAGCTCACCTGGTCCTCTCTTCCTGCAGTGACACACCTGAGAGAGCAGCTGAGGCCCATCTTTGTTTGATAGGCTCCATTTTTTTTTTAATTGTTAAAACCCAATGTTAGAATTGTATGTTTATGTTCCTTAAGTAGCACTGGCTCACATATATATCTTATCTTTTAACCATCTTCAAAATGTGGTTGTCCTTTCAATGTAGATTAGCTTAGCATGTAGCATATCTAAATACAGGAAAGGAAGAAGTGGACTGAGGTTTTAAAAGGGGCGGGACAACAGGGGGAAGTTAGTAGAATTACTTTGGGCTGAAAAACGAAGCTCAGATTTCAGGTTTGGTTTCAGGACAGACCGCAGAAACTCTCGCTGAGCTCCCACAACTTCTTGGCCGTGGCATCGTCTCTCGCCTTCGACTCAATGTTCATCAGCGGTGCACACTGGGTGAAGTAGTGGCCGCTGAGGTGCTCGATGCCTTGCTCCAGGGCACAATGGAGCGTCGTCTGAGCTCCAGACTCGGCATCCGTGGCGAAAAGGAGGAAGGGTGCCCCGATGATCTTTGACCAGAAGCTGAAGTCACGAGTGATTTCTGTTTTTATGTATCCTGGACAGAAAAGAGAAAAAATAACCAAAATGTTTAACTGACTGTACATTTAATTGAGATGTATGTTAGAAAAAGATTTAATGTAACCAGAGACAAAATAATAAAAACAAAAATAAAATTAAGACAAAATATTTTACAAATTGTATTTAAGTATGTGTTTTAATGAGATGTGGACCAATGCTACATGCTGCAGCATATATAACCGAAGCTAGTTTAGTAAATAGGTTGGACTTTATTTACTTTATTTACAGGTAGATCTTCTCATTTCTCTAATATAGACATTTTTTTCATCTCTCATAACATTTCATTAGTTTTTTGTTTTCCTTTTCCTGGAAGAAATGGGCTCCCATAACAAGGATGATAAAAAGCTACACAGACATTTTCCAGCCCCTCCAGAAGTAAAATTAGTCTTTGTAGTTTGTGAGAGCTCAGTGTGGTCGACTCTAGCCGTCACCATCTTGGTAATCCTGACTCTGCCGTCTCCCGGCTAATCCAACAATGGGCAAAGTGATGGAGCTGAATGAAGCCTGGTTACTGAAAACAGCCTGGCTACTCAAAGTGTCCACACCCCTTAATTATGCAGAACTTTAAGCCTTAATATAATTTAAAGTGGTGAGTTGTATAAGCCCCCACGGGGAAATTTGCTATAAAGACCCAAAGTGTTTGTACCAGGCTGTAAACATGTTTATTTCTGCACTATAGTGTTGGCTTCATTTAATCTGATAAAAAAAACCTTATTACTAAAAGAGACACAAGACAACTTGTTCCAGTCAGAATAAAATCTCTGATAGTTCTGCTCAATGTTTTGTTCTTACTGCTACGATTGGTCAGATGTACAGAAAGATCACAGGATTGTTTGAGACTGTTGCAATCGCAACTTCCTGGAGAGACTGAAATGAAAAGAAATCAAACACAGCGATGTTTCAGAACGATGGCTGCTGTCTGCTGACCAGGATGGAGGCTGTAGCAGGTGACGTCGGTGCCCTGCAGCCTCTTGGCCAGCTCGTAGGTGAAGAGGACGTTGCACAGTTTGCTGTGGCAGTACTTCTGGAAGAGATGGTAGTCGCTGCCGCCCAGAGCCAAATCCCTGAGAGTCGTCAGACAGTTGAAATCCACCTTTCCCATCGTGTACGCTTTGGAGGCCACATTCACCACGCGGCTCGGCCCGCTGGCCTTCAGCCGGTCCAGGAGCAACATCGTCAGCAGGAAGTGACCCAGGTGGTTGACGCCAAAGATCATCCCAAAGCCGTCCTTTGTCTTCCCGCCATTTAACAGACCTAAAGACAGAAACACCAACAACAATTAACCTAAACACAATGTGGGTTTAAAGGAACATTCCCTCCTTTTTTAAAGAAATCCTCTTGTTAGCTGAGGGATAAATTTAATCTGTGTGCATCCAGTACATAGACAGGTCCAGGACGTGATTAGCCTAGCTTAGCACAAAGATTAAAGGAATCTTATATGTTCTTAAAGGCCTTTCTCTAATAATGGGAAAAATCTCAACAGCAGTGCCCATCACCGGCACACGAGGCTCCAGCTCCACCAGGTGAGCTATCAGGACAACTCAACCTGTAAAGTGACTTATTTCAATACGTCTGACACGTACTCCACCCCTGTGTGCTCAGGCTGTGTGTGTAGGTCCCACTTCACACCCCCACAGCCAAACCCAGGTAGAAAGCGAGCTCTCCAGGTCCCAAATAAACAAAGCCAGTGGGCGACTACATCACTGCAGTGACCTTTCAACACTATGGGAACCTACATAGTTTATATCAGCGCTGACTCAGACAGGCCAGCAGTTAGTGAACAATCAATTCTTCTGTCACTTTTTTAGATAGGCAGCTAAAAGTAGGGAAATATGTCTGAAATAGAAGTAAAAGTAATGAATAAACAGTTAATCTAAGTAATGAATGAGTCGTTTAAATGTCTGTCGAGTTGAAATAGTTCTCTAGCAGTGTTTTAATCAGATTCAAATTCAAATCAGCACATTTAAGAATAAGTTGCCGCTGTGAATTCAGAGGACAGAGGGCTGACCAGCGTTGTTGATGAGCAGATCCAGCCTAGACTCGGACCGGAGGAAGTTCTCAGCGAAGGAGCGGACGGACTGCAGACTAGCCAGGTCGAGCTGCATGAGGATCACCTGGTTGTTACCAGTTTCCTGAATAACAAACAGAGGTTGGAAGCACTCACAGGACAGTTTCTGCATCCTTCATTCTCTGAATAACAGGACGAACTTATTGTGTTTGTCATCTTCGTTGATTTTTAAAACTATAACACTGATATATAGAAACTGGCAGATTCATCCATCAATTTCAGGCTTTAATTAACTTCCTGTTAGCCCCGCCCACAACTGATGTGGATACGTTTGGATACTTAAAGGCACACTATGCAAGATTTTTACCTTAATATAACACCTTCGAAGTCATTTCGATGGTAAATGAACTCGTAGTATAGCGATTCATCCCGATAGCAAATCAGGAGAGGGACGACGTTGGCAGAACCAGCAATGCAAGTCTGAAAGGTGGCGCCCCGCCAAATCTCGCGAGAATCACAAATTGCTTTACGGCATTCACTCAGACGTTACCTGGTCAGTAGACATCTTCGAAGTCTATCTTTGCCTGTTCGATATCAGAGCTTCCATCCTACTGAACATGTGTCGCTTAAATACTTTTTTGGCGTTTTTGAGCACTTTTTATTTTTTGTTTGCACGGGTCTCCATGGCGATGGGGAGTCGCATTGTTTACACCCATGACCAGAAGATTGCTCTGAGGCACCCTATCATCCTGATTGGAGAGAGACCCTCCATACCGGAGGAGCTGAGGAGGAGACGGCGAGGCTGCAGAGCGGGGGTTAAACGGAGGATGAAGAAGAGGAGGTTTAAACTCTACATCCCTGCAGTCATCACTGGAAACAAACGTGGCTATACAAGCAGATACCGGACTCCAACGTCACCATTCCCGGCTTCCAGACGGGGCGAGCCGACAGGGACACCACCGCGACCGGTAAGAAGAAAGGAGGGGGACTTGCCGTGCTCATAAACAACAGGTGGTGTAACCCCGGGCACGTCTCTGTGAAAGAGCGTCTGCAGCCCGGACATCGAGCTCGTCGCCATCGGACTTCGTCCATATTACTGCCACAGGAACTTTCCAGTGTTATCGCCATCACTGTTAACATTCCTCCGTCTGGGAAAGCAGAAGCAGCGTGTGACGTCATCCACACTGTGACTGCAGGACTACAAACGAAACACCCGGAGGCCTTCATCATCATCACAGGGGACTTCAACCACGTTTCTCTCTCGTCCACATTCCCAACCTTCCACCAGTTTGTCACATGCACCAGCAGAGACAATAAGACCTTGGACCTGCTGTATGCAAATGTTCCTGTTTTTTATATCTGTATTTATTTCACTCAAATGTTGCTGTGACAAGTGAATTTCCCCATTGTGGGATTAATAAAGTTATCTATCTATCTATCTATCTATCTATCTATCTATCTATCTATCTATCTATCTATCTATCTATCTATCTATATGTATGTATCTACCAGTATACAGGGGGGAGGGGATCAGGCTGTGAGTACAGAGACGCAGAGCCGTATATAGAGACGGCTGGTGAGTGGTATTTACGATATAATACAAGTACTCCGCAGCGACTCTAGGGATAGCTGTTTAACAAAACTGTAAAACTGCATAGTATGCCTTTAAACCGATTCTTTAGTTGGTTGAACCGGGACAGATACTGCTGCACTCACTCATTCAGAAACTAAAAGAAAGTTTTTTGTCTTTACCTGGATGATTTCCTGGACGGTGGCCTCTGCTCGCCGTCTGTCCCTGCAGGCCAGGACCACCCTCGCCCCCCTCCGGGCCAGGTCCATTGCTGTGGTCTTACCGATGCCGGTGTTTGCTCCTGGAGAGGAGGGACAGAATCAGAGGAAGCCTGTTTAATCCGCCCTGATGCGACCGTTGGATGGACTGCAGCGACCTTCAGTTTGGATGTTCCCAGATATTGAATCCTGAAGACACTGATCCCTTTTCATCCGGCGCCACCAACAGATCCAAGTTCTCACTTTTCCATCTCATACTTTGTGCTGACATTGATGTTTTCCAGCTACTAAAGCTAGCTTTCACTACCGGCCTCAGTATGTTCAAGGAAAAAATAATTGAACATGATTCTTAAGTTTCTTCCATATCTAAAGATAATGGCTCTGAACAGCTCGTAATGATATATTATATAATTATATTATTACTTTACTTATTACTCGCTGCCAACTGTAATTAGTTACACTACTAGTTTAATTACTTTCCCCAAAATGTTTTACCCAGAATTCAGACTGATGACAATTAAAATCCAGTTTAGTTTGTTAAAATCAAAGTAATCGAGTATTTCCAGTGTTTCATCTTCTCAATCTCAAAAACAAAAGCAACTTTGTAAACTGTTAGTAATAATATTAGTTACTCCCCAAAAAGTAATGAATTATTTCCACTACTAGTTACTGTAGAAAGTAATGTAGTTACTGTAATAGTATTATCACTAATACTGTGAGTTCAGATTATTTTCCCCCACAATAACAACACTATGGCTCTCAAAGCATCATGGGAGTTGTAGTTGTTGGAACATTTCCAGTTGCATTATCTAAACTCCCCGATGGATCTGCACACAGGCTCCACTCAGAACACGCCCGTCAGCACACTCTGGACCCGGACTGTGCTTTAAAGGACCAGCGTGGCAGCCTGCACACAGCTGACACACAGCTTACTGAAAGGTAGAAAACTCCCATAATGTCGCTTTAAATAAAGTTTATTGAATTTCCAGGTTGTGAAAACGTCTTTACCACATCTGTTACATCATTGTTACAAAGGTGAAAGAAGAAACTCCAGGACCCCCCCCCCAAAAAGTTCTTATTAAAGTCCAATAACTGATCTTTAAACCCTTTATGAACCATTATTAAAGCCATTAGTTAGAACTTATGAAGGTTCCTTATTAGTGTTGAATGTGTGAACAGTTGTTTTCAGTGTGCAACACTTCCTGGGTGTCCACACAGTCTAATTATATCAGTGGAGTGTGAACTCACCGGTGACGACGGCGGTTTTTCCATCGAACCTTGCAGAACTTTTACATCTGGGCAACCGGAGCAAAGTCACATGGAGAAGAAAATAACCTCCGAGCAGCAGCAGAGCTCCGAGCAGCAGCAGCATCCTGAGTGTGTGTGTGAGTGTGAGTGTGTGAGAGTGTGTGAGTGTGTGTGTGTGAGTGTGTGTGTGTGAGTGTGAGTGTGTGAGAGTGTGTGTGTGAGTGTGTGTGTGGAGTGTGAGTGTGTGAGGTGTGTGTGTGTGTGTGTGGTGTGTGTGTGGTGGGTGTGTGTGTGTGTGGTGTGTGTGTGTGTGTGAGTGTGAGTGTGTGTGTGTGTGGTGTGAGTGTGAGGTGTGAGTGTGTGGAGTGTGAGTGTGTGTGTGTGTGTGTGTGGTGTGTGTGTGTGTGTGTGTGTGTGTGTGGAGTGTGGGTGTGTGTGTGTGTGTGGAGTGTGGAGTGTGGTGTGTGTGTGTGTGTGTGTGTGGAGTGTGTGTGTGTGTGTGTGTGTGTGTGTGGGTGTGAGAGTGTGTGTGTGTGTGTGAGTGTGAGTGTGTGAGTGTGAGTGTGTGTGTGTGTGTGTGAGTGTGTGTGTGTGTGTGTGAGTGTGTGTGTGAGTGTGTGTGTGTGTGGACTCTGTATCAGCAGCTCTGCAGCCGAGCCGTCCGCTCTCATTGGCTGCAGCTCCACCAGAGACTGACAATAAAACCATTATCTGATCGATATTATTGATTAACACAAGCAGATTAATGTTTAATAGCCTCGAGCACACAGAGCAGAGGAGCATTATTCCAGTGGGTTTGTGCTGCAGCGCCACCTGGTGGCCGACAGTGTTACAGCAGTAGAGATTCAATGTGAGTCTGCTGAGGCTTTTACAGTTTATTGATCGCTCTGTATAAACACAGGTTGGACAGGTAGAGCTACGGATGCTAACCTGACAGCCATGATCTCTCACACTGACTGTATATAGAAGGTCTGCACCCCCCCCCCACCTTTATCTGAGACGATGCAGTCGACAAACCAGATTTTAGAAAATACATTTTTATAAAAACTAATATTTAAAAAAGTAAACTCTTTGGGCGATCAGAGCTGAATGCTAACAGCAGCATCAATACTGACGCTGACTCAATCACAGATCAATATCTGACTGGAAGATGAGAATGAATATCATAAGATCTGAATCTGAAACAGATTCTTACATTAATGTCTTTATATAAATATAGAATCACCTGTTTAAAACTACGGAAGCCCGTTAGTAATATTCTGTATGTTCTATAGCTTTATTATCTGAAGTTCTTTATAACGGGTCGAACAGAACTTTCCTTCACACTGCAACGAGCTTCCACATTAAACACTAAGCTGTGGTTCTGACTGAGGAGCAGAGGATTGTGGGTCCGAGGTTCTGCTGCCAGCACCCAGTGGGCGGTACTGGAAGTGTTTGAGGGATGAAGGAGACACTCAGCCGGGTGGGAACACTTTTATTGGGGCCTTCAGGCACTGTGGGAACTCTGGGAACTCTGGGAACTGTTGAGTCTTTACGGTTCTCCCAGTCTCATTAGTTCTTCCAGAAGTTCGGGTTCTGGCTCATCCTCCTCTGGAAGTTCTCGTACCACTTGAGGATGCAGCTGGACGGGATGAAGGTCTCGGTGGGGTTCGGGGTCATCTGCGCCTGCGACACCGCGAACGACGAGGCGAAGTTATAGAGACTGTCCAACATCTTCTGCGTGAAGTGCAGGAAGGAGTCCACGGCGGCCACGGCGGCGGAGGACACCGGGATCTGCTGGACCAGCTGCTCCAGAGCCTCCACCGACACCCCGACCTGAGCCACGGAGGGGGACGGGGAGGAGGCCACGGAGCCGAACGGGTGCGCCCCGCCCTCCCCGGCCTTCAGCCCGGAGATCTTGAAGATGGCGCTGGGTTTGTCGTTGGTGATGAACCCGAGCAGCTGCCACACCGGAGCGCCGCTCACCGGGTCCGGGAAGGAGAAGTACACCGCGCCGCCCATACCGGCGGGGAACGGCACCGTGCCCAGCATGAACACCACCACGTGGTTCACGTTGTCGCAGTCCGGCAGGTTGAACACGAACTTATCCGCGGAGACCTGGACCGCGTCCGTCTGCACGAGCCTGCCGGCGACCAGACAGCCGAACATCCCGGTGGTAGCCGTTAGCTCCGGTGTTAGCCGTTAGCTCCGCTGGTAGCCGTTAGCTCCGGTGGTAGCCGTTAGCTCCGGTGGTAGCCGTTAGCTCCGGTGGTAGCCGTTAGCTCCGGTGGTAGCCGTTAGCTCCGGTGGTAGCCGTTAGCTCCGCGGTTAGCCGTTAGCTCCGGTGGTAGCCGTTAGCTCCGGTGTTAGCCGTTAGCTCCGCTGTTAGCCGTTAGCTCCGCTGTTAGCCGTTAGCAGCCTCCGACCGGCCAATGGACCGAGGAGCTCAGCGGAACTTGTTTATCCGGTAATGGCGGGAGTCCTGCCGCTGATGTTCGTCATGAGGGAGGCTGAACCGGACCGGTAGAAACTTCTAGTACAGTCGGGCTGTCGGTGCAGCCCCCCCCGGGATCCGCTGCTCGACGATCGACCGTTCCTCCTGTATGGTAGTCAGATGATTACCGGGTTACTTTCAGCCCTTTACTCGGACTGACAGGCGCATCTTTCTCTATTTTCGACTTTAATTCGGAAACACTGACGGACCCAAACTGTAGCCGGAACCACCTGTAGCCTGCAGCACCGTACTGGTGGAACCGGGCCGGTACACAGTGCCGGACTTCCACCTGTCAGGCAGCGCGCAGGGCTCAGGTCGAACCCAGAGGTTTGTTGTTGTTGGCTCTGCTGCTGTTCGATGATTCGTTAATCGACTTGTTGCTGCCAGCCGAGCGGAAAGCGGCAGTTTTAAGAGTGAATGAGACCGGAAGTGAGAATTCCTCCGACTTAAAAAATAAAGCAAATAAATTTCATACGCAAAAAGCTTTTTTGAATGTTTTTATAACGTTTGTTGTTTATATGACTTGTATTTATTAGGATGATGATTAATACAGTAAAGTACAAATAAATGATTGTTAGAAAAAGATGGACTGCAGAATTATTTCCTGTATATTTGGATATAAATTACTGTATTTATTGTTTGTGTGTGTAACATAAAGGAACCACAAACCTTTATGTAGTTACACAGCTGTGTAACAATGAATACATTTCTTTGATTCCTTGATTAAACTGCTGTAAATAAAACTGAGAGTAACTGTCCAACCGATCCTGGTTGGACATTAAATATTTAAATTAAACTTTTTGTTTGGCGTCATTGAATCTAATTTAATAATAAATAATTATTTAATAAATAAATATTTAGCTTAAAGAGTTGTTTGCCCATTGTTATATTGGAATATTTTAACGTTCAAGTTACATTTTGGTTTTCTATAATTTGAAATGATATTTGTATGTATAATAATTCACACTTCTATATGATTATTATTATTTATGATTATATATATTTATTCAGCTGGTTTATATATTTCTGTTTGCTGATACACTTTCATGTAACTGGCTGAAATGACCTCATAAACTTCTCAATCAATTATTAAAATAGAATTTTATCACGCAAACTGTTGTTTTATTTTGAAGAACAGTCGCCGGATGCACAGTCTGTTGATTTCCGCTAGCTTTCCTCCACTGACTCGGGTCAGGCGCAGCTCGGCTCGGCTCACATCGAGAACCTCCAAACAAACTGAAATAAACTTCCTGCTCTCGGGTTTGTGGAGCGACGCGTTTCTCTGCGGACTACCGCCTTTTACCGGACACCAGCAGGTAAACGGTCCCGGTTTAATCTCCGGTTGTCTCCAAACTTTTGCTCGTTAGCTAACCCGGTTAGCCACCCGATGCTAGCAGCGGAGCCCGTTTGGTTTTTACACCAACGAAGAAGAAACAGTTGTAGAGTTTGTAGGATGTGAGATTGTGTGTCTGTAGATCAGCTGTTAGCTCACTCCAGTGTATATTTCTATTAATATATATTAGTTAATAATAATGTGTGTCTTATTCTGCTTAATAAAAGTGAACAGTGAGACATTCAGGGTCTCAGCTGAAGCTCAGGATTTATTCACTCTGCAGCTGGATGTGAATATCTGATCATTCTTCATCAATACACAATACTCATACAGTCAAATATGGCCACTAATCTTAAAAAGGCTTTTAGGGGAGCTCAGTTGTTCTACAGTGGTTGGAGCTGAAGTTATTGATCATCAGCTGTCACACCTCAGTGGGGATGGTAGAGATGAGTCAGTGCTCAGATCATAGATCAATAGTACGCTGACACATCAGACAGCATAATGCAGTTAATGTAAGTCGAGCTGCTCTGTGCTCACACCCTGAGGATGTGATTACCAGAAAATCAATACTAAATGATTATTGATTATACGGTAAACAACAATAACAAAACAATGACTCCCAGGAACTTCAACATCCTTCATTAAAACATCTGAACATCACAAAATGTTCTCAGAAAGTCCTCCTCCTCGTTGTCCTTCTCCTCCTGCTCCTCCTCCTCCTCCTCCTTGTCCTCCTGCAGGAGTGTTTCCTATAAGTGTGAACACATTGTTTAGAGTTTGTATCACTTTTTACTGTGTTTGTCCTCAATGAGTCGAGGCGGAGCTGCAGCCATGCTGAGTTCAGGTTGTGCGTCTCCCTCCTCTCATCCCTCCTCATTTTACTAAAACGGGTCCCTGAAGGAGAAAGGCTGGGAGTCACTGGATTAGTTGACCTGCAGGAGATTCTGAAAGTCTGATCTGTCCTCTGGCTGTAAATCAGAATGGTTTGGGCTTTTTTCCCAGTTGTTAACATTTAAAGACTTAATTGTTATAATTATTATTATTGTTATTATTATTGTTATTACAGTCTTCTATCTAACTTACAGAGGGAGAGAGCAGTGTTGTGTTCCCTCTGTCATTAAACCGCTCTGCAGTAAAATGTCTGTTTAAGCAGGTTTTCTGCAGAACTGAAGGATATTTTTAGAGTCTTCCTGCGTCTTTGTGAGCAGTGTGTGTGTGTGTGTGTGTGTGTGTGTGTGTGTGTGTGTGTGTGTGTGTGTGTTATTGGAGGAGACAGAGTTGTGCTGTTGAATCATTTATGAGCTGCTCTCTCTCTCGCTCTCAGATATTCTTCCAGCGTCCGGCGGCCGAGCTGCCAGCCTCTCTTCTGTCCCGTCCTGTTCCGGTCCGATCCGCTCTGTTAGCTCTCAATGGGACACAAAGAGCGACGGGTTCCTCAGTGGAGCTCTAACAGGTTGCTTTGTTCATCGTTTCCCACAGAACACGTCTGTGTGGAGTCTGAGACACGCAGAGGTGGAAATGTGAATCTTTCCTTTCTGAGTCACGCCCTGCGTAGCGTTCAACCCCGAGGATTGACCACGGGCGTAACGACACATCACTCAATGTTCAACGGTCCAATACAACAACTGAAACATCCACTTATATCATCGTCTTTATTCAGTATGGAAATATAGACGACTCATTGACTTTACATATGCAAACAATGCTGTTGGGGGGTAAAATAAAAGCTTTTCTCACACGTCCTGGAAAACCTGGAAATTTAGAGTTTCAATGACATCATCACATTAGCCTGACAACCTGACAGCTTTCTGGGATGTCCAGAGTCTTATTCTATGCTGCTTAAATATGTAGCAGGCAGAGTCTAATGCACAGATGCTGCTGAGTTGCATTGTGGGAAATGTAGGATCCTGTGTCTTTGGAGTTTGATCCAACCTCTTCTGAGTTCCCCAACTTTATAAAAGGGAGATTTTTATCTTTGCCAAACTTATTTTTACTCCATTTGTTCCTCCCTCTCTGTGTCGAACAGGATTTAGAAGAATGGAAAAGCAGGAGAGGAGAATTCGCCCTCAGTGAGAGGAAGAGGAGGAGGAGGAGGTTCGTGATGGAGCGAGCTCACAGCCTCCTGCTGAACGAGGAGGTGTGCAGTCAGCTGGGTGAACATCAGAGGGTCGAGTTTATCTTTGAATGGCTGAACCACCTGAAGAAGCTCCTTCCCGCCACCGACAGGGTGAGAGCAGCGAGCCGATCAGCAGCAGCTTCTTTACAAACGTTAGAATCATTACAGTCATTATTCTCTCTGCTCCCTCCAGGCCCACGTCAAACAGAACCAGCGGCGTCTCGTCGAGCAGCTGTCGGCCGTTCTGATTGGCTCCCCCGGCCCGCCGACCCGCTGGCTGCTGGCCCACTGCTTGGCCCTGCTCTACCGCCTGGGAGACCCGGTTCCTTCTAGCCTATTGGTGGACAGGTGCAATGACATCATCCGCAGCAAAGACGACTCCCCGTCAGGCCTCCCGACCCGTCTGTAAGTGCTGCTGCCTTCATGGCATGCAGGAAAGTTGGGAAACACCGTTGAAGCCAATTGAAAGCTTCATTAGTTGAGAGGAAATGGTACTGGGGAGATTTCCAGCAGTGATTAGTTTTTATATTTGTGTTTCAGGGCGGCCATCGCGTGCCTCGGCGCTCTGTTTGAGCAGCTCGGTCGGATGCTCGCCGGCTCCTTCAAAGACACACTGGCCAACCTGCTGAAGGCCATGAAGAGCGCCGAGGTTGGTCTGCTCCTCAGTTCGTGCTGCGTTAAATAAAGTTCAAACTGTTGGTTGAAAGGTCACCCTCCTCTTCCTCTCAGTCTCAGGGTCGGTACGAGATCATGTTGAGCCTGGAGAAGATCCTTCAAGGTTTGGGCGTCAGCGCCGTGCCGGGTCACCGTGACGTCTACAAGGCGGCGAGGACGTGCCTGACGGACCGATCAATGGCCGTACGCTGCGCTGCCGCCAAGGTAACGACAGCCGGCGCATGCGGTCACTCCTGCTGATCATTCGTCATCGATTTCAGTTCATTCAGTCATTTTATCAGCCCGTACAGTCACAGTGTTACAAACTAAAGTATAACATGTCTCCTGTACATACGATTTACACCACACTGCAGAAACAACCCTTCCAGAAGGATTCTTCTCATTTTTTATTAAAACAACGAAAAACAAAACAACTGCTTCATTTCCAACACTGACAGACGACTTTCTCTTAAACTGAGAAGTTGTGCGAGTGGGCTTAAGGACAATAATCGGGTTCCTCTGCTGGAATATTATGCAACCATTGTTGTTACTGGTTAAAGCTCAATATTAACTGTAAGATCTCATTAAGACACAGTTTGATAGATTTTCTTAAAAGCAGATTACTTTTCACATGCTCAAAAAATTATTTTAGTTTTTAGACAAAAAATAAAATAAGTTTTTTTTACTTTGTTGAGATTATTCTTTTTCTGTGTAAAGTTCGACAGCAACAATTAAAATGACACATAAGATGATAAATTGAAGAGATGTGTGCAGATTGAGATTGTTAATGTTTCCTCTATCGTCCCGTCAGTGTCTGCTGGAGCTGCAGCGGGAGGCGGTGTTCCTGTGGACCAGCGAGCTGGAGAACGTGGCCACTCTGTGCTTCAGAGCCTTTGAAGGGTCCAACTACAACGTCAGAGTGTCTGTCGCCAAACTGCTGGGAACGCTGCTGGCCGCTGCCGTGGAGCCCCGACAGCCCACTGGTACGATCAGAGGGGGGCGGATACTGAAACTGGTGCTAGCGGGGTTCAAACACTGGATTCTGTGGATTCTTCACTGATCGTACATGGAAATACTTTGTTACTGGAATATCAGGAGGTGAACAGATGTGTTATTTTCTCTCCCAGCAGCCCCCAGACAGGGGGGGCGTGGCCGGAGTTCCCTGGAGGAGGTGATGGATTTGCTGTCCGGGGGGTTCCTGCGGGGCGGGGCCGGGTTCCTCCGAGCCAGCGGAGACATGCTGAAGGGGACTAGCTCCGTTGGCAAGGACGTCCGAATCGGAGTCACACAGGTGGGTCGCCACGGCAACGATTGAACTTTTAAGAATTTTGATTTATTGAGCAGATTTAATGACTCCTCCTCCTCCTCCTCCTCCTCCTCCTCCTCAGGCATGCGTGGTCTTCGTCTCCACCCTGGGCGGCTCCTGGTTGGAGGCAAACTTCCCCGCCTTCCTGTCCCTGCTGATGGAGCTGGCGTCCCACGGCCGGGCCACGCAGACGCCGGGCGATGCCGTGGTGACCCGCCGCTGCGTCTCCTTCATCCTGAGGAGCACCCTGGGGTCTCTGCTGGGAGAGAAGGCTCAGACCAACGCCGCCAAGCAGCTCTGCCTCGCCGTGGCGGCGCAGAAACGAGCCATCGGTGAGCAGAGAGCGAGGAAAGACTCCATAATGGACACATTACAGACTTCTCTAATGATATTATGATAGGATATAGTGACTGTATAATGTATTTAATCAAGTGTACCTTACAGGTAGGAACGCTACTTGGTGGCGCCTAGATAGATGGATGATAGATAGATAGATAGACAGATGGATGGATGGATAGATGGATAGATGGATAGATGGATGGATGGATGGATGGATAGACAGATAGATAGACAGATAGATAGACGGATAGATAGACGGATAGACAGATGGATAGACAGATGGATGGATGGATGGATGGATAGATGGATAGATAGATAGATAGATGGATAGATAGATGGATGGATAGATAGATAGACAGATGGATAGATAGATAGATGGATGGATGGATGGATGGATACTTTATTTATCCCGAGGGAAATTCAAGCATCCAGTAGCAGCATACAAACATACATTAAACATACAGTATATATAGTTGCAGCTGCCTGTCCATCTCCCGGCTCTGCGCGAGCTGTGGCAGTTAATATCTGCGTGTGTGAAATCATAAATCTGACGCCGTATCCCGACTCGTGTGTTTTTATAGACGCAGCGCTGACTGACGGGAACGTGGAGACCAGAGTTTCGTCTGCAGACGTCTCAGCCAGTCAGCACGTGTTGGTCTGCTGCCTGCTGGAACTGGGAGGACTCGTACAGGGACTGGGATCCACTGCCGCCCCCCTCCTCACGGACAGCAGCACAGGTCTGACACACAGAATGAAACACCGTGGGTCGGATCAGAGGAGGTGTCTGATGGGGAAAGGAGAGCTGATGATCAATAATACCTTATTATTAAACCTTGCTGCTGTTAGACTACGGAGCTGAATCAGATAATGTTTATATGATTTATATTTGCAGCGCTCCTGGACACGGTGGTCTCCGTCCTCCTCCACCCCGTCTCCTCGGCCTGTCTGGCCGCTGCCTGGTGCCTGCGCTGCGTTGCCATGGCAATGCCTTCCCAGGGTTCCTTGCTGCTGGACCGCTGCGTTGAGCGGCTGGTGGCGCTGAAGTCTTCACCTGAAGCGGTGGCCGGGTACGGTGCCGCCGTCGCCGCCCTGGTGGCCGCAGTGCAGCACTGTCCCCTGGGAATTCCACACACCAAAGGCATGGTGGGTAAAATAACGCCACCACATTACATAGTTTAATATAGCACATGCTAACGTTAGCATTAACTAATCCTAGATATTAACATGTATAAACTGTCTGTGGTCTCTAGTCTATGTTTACTCTGGGTGGAGTATATTTCTCTTGGACTGCTAATGGGAAACTGTGTGTGTGTGTGTGTGTGTGTGTGTGTGTGTGTGTGTAGGTGGTCCTCGCTCTGGCTGAAGACCTGCTGCGTTCAGCGTCTCAGAACAGTCGGATCTCTCTGCAGAGGACTCGGGCCGGCTGGCTGCTCGTCTCCTCGCTCGTCACCTTAGGTACAACTCACTGACACTGACACTGCTTCTGTTTCCTTTAATGAGGAGAGATGGTTAATAGTGTGTGTGTGTGTGTGTGTGTGTGTGTGTGTGTGTGTTCAGGCCCAGCTGTAGTGGAGCACCACCTGTCTCGCCTCCTCCTCCTGTGGCGCTGTGTGTTTCCTGCGTCTCTCAGGGAGCAGGAGATGGAGCTGCGACGAGGGGACTACTTTACGTGGCAGGTTACGCTGGAGGGACGAGCCGGGGCGCTCTGCGGTCAGTCCACACACCTGTCTCTCTGTCCACCACACACACAGACAGACAGTTTATACAGACAGTTTACACACACACACACACACACACACACACACACAGACAGTTTATACAGACAGTTTACACACACACACACAGACAGACAGACAGACAGACAGACAGTTTACACACACACACACACACACACACACACACACAGACAGTTTATACAGACAGTTTACACACACACACACAGACAGACAGACAGACAGACAGACAGTTTACACACACACACACAGACACACACACACACACACACACACAGACAGACAGACAGACAGTTTACACACACACACACAGACAGACAGACAGTTTGCAGACAGACAGAAAGTTTACACACACACACACACACACAGACAGACAGTTTGCAGACAGACAGACAGACAGACAGTTTACACACAACACACACACACACACACACACACACACACACAGACAGACAGTTTGAGACAGACAGACAGACAGACAGTTTACACACACACACACACACACACACACACACACACACACACACACACAACAAAGACATTTGAGACAACAGACAGTTTACACACACACACAGACAGACAGTTTGCAGACAGACAGACAGTTTACACACACACACAGACAGACAGTTTGCAGACAGACAGACAGTCTTACAGTAACTCCTCCTGTGTGTGAGCAGCGATGAAGAACCTGCTGCTGCACTGCAGGGAGCTCGTCACCGATGACGTCATCAGCCGCCTGCTCACGCCATTGGCCTGCGCGGTGGCCCTGCTCACCAAGTCAGTACCTGATTGATGTAGCTTATCTAGCATGTAGCTTAATAAGTACAGTATCTTCTCTGTTCGATCCTGCCACTGAAACCTTGTTATCTGTGTGTGTGTGTGTGTGTGTGTGTGTGTGTGTGTGTGTGTGTGTGTGTGTTATCTGTGTGTGTTGTGTTGTGTGTTATCTGTGTGTGTGTGTGTGTGTGTGTGTGTGTGTGTGTGTGTGTGTGTGTGTGTGTTATCTGTGTGTGTGTGTGTGTGTGTGGTGTGTGTGTGTTATCCGTGTGTGTGTGTGTGTTTATTGTGTGTGTGTGTAATCTGTGTGTGTGTCCAGGTTGCCGGCTCTCCTCAGGTCTTACAGCAGTTCAGTTCGTAGCTTTTCGGTCGTCTACAGACTGAGAGTGTACGAGCTGCTCTCTCTGCTGCCTCCACTCGACTACCAAGGTACCAACACTCCTCCGTCACTCCTTCCTGCTTCCTACCAATATCAGATCTTTCTTCTTTGTGATTGTTGCGTCTCTCCCTCCTGATCCTGCTCATGATATTTATCGTATGTTCAAAGTGTGTTTCTTTCTCTTAGTCTCCTCCCACATGTGTCCGTACCCTGATACAGAGTTCTTCACCTTTCTCCTGTAGAGAGTTTCGGTTTGGTGATGAACCAGCTGGTGACTGATCTGTCGGGTCAGGACAACCTGAACCAGCCGTGTTCAGAGCTCACCCTGCTGCCCCCCCTCTGTCACCATGACGACCTGCCGCTGGTGGGCCCCGCCCTCCACGACACGGACCACAGATACATCGAGGAACAGGTGACGTGTGCTGGAGGCTAGCTGGGCTTTATAAACAGTACAGGACCGAAGGAGCTGTTAACGCTTGAGGCTGTGTTTGGTTTTCAGCTCCATGGCAGCAGCGTGGGAGGCGGCTCTCTGGACAACGACGCCTTCAGTCTGTGTGAGAGGAGCGACGACGCTCCCGCTCCTCTTCCTCCCGCCATCGCTCTGACCGCTGCTGCCGTCCGCCTCTTTGGAGCGCTCTTCCCCCACATCATCTCCGCTCAGAGGTAACTCACCTGCTGTCAGCTGCACGCGCAGGTCGGTCAGTACAGGGTTAACTGAAACAGGTCAGCTAGTAAACACATCGTATTACAGATATTTTACAATAAACAGAAAGCAGCAGGAAGTGTTTATAACGGTCTGATACGTCTCTCATGCTGTAAGAAACAATCTGTAAATAAGTCTGAATCTGAAAGTACAAACAGGAAGTTAAAGTCACAGAGAATCACCTTTACAAACCGGACCTAACAAACTCTCTGTTGGTCAGAGTGAAGATATTGGAGCTGTTTGTGGACACAGTGAACCAGCTGAAGGGTCAACGGCAGCAGACCGTCCAGACACACGTCTGTGCTGCCCTCTGCAGTCTGCTCAAGGTACTGTCGGCATGAGGTCTCACACCACTCAGACGCCCGGAAAGTGTGTGTGTGTGTGTGTGTGTGTGTGTGTGTGTGTGTGTGTGTGTGTGTGTGTGTGTGTGTGTGTGTGTGTGTGTGAACAAGTTTAAATACATAACATATATATTTGGAGCTCTCTGCACACTCTGCTTGCTGTTGAGTGTTATTTGTATCATCATTTCATTTACGTCCACTACAAGCTGAAAGACCTCTAAACTGTGTCCTCCTCCTCAGCACCAGGGCGGTATTCGGGGCTCTCTGGGGCCGGAGGAGGTGCGCTCTCCAGCGTTGTCCCTCCTGTCGGGGGCGCTGGAGAGCGGCAGTCCTCTGCTGCGCTGTCTGGCCGCTGAAGGTCTGGCCCGGCTGGTTCAGGTGGTCGGAGACCCCGGCTTCACCGTCTCCGTGTCCCTGCTCTGCTTCGACAGGTAGGACGCCACCGTCGGGGTACTCGAGTCACACATCGCTTTTAAAGGATTTTTCTATTTGGTTTAAATTTGTATCACTTATTTGTGTGAAGCAGATTTCCTGCCACTGAGAACCGTTTCCAGTCTCTGATCTTAAAGTAGCAACAGCAGAAACAAGTCAGGTCATGATCCAAAAATACTAAAATCACAGTCACGCAATGAACCAGAAATAGTCCAGAAAAGTTTTAGAGTGGAAGAATCCAAATATATCCCAGTGTGTTTGAACTGGTGAGTCACTGGTGCTGTGTGTCTTTTATTGGGTTGAAAGGAAGCCGTTAGCACATCCTGTGTTATATTTAGACCAAGTGCAGGTAACAGATTCAGTCAAACGGAGGCTTCACTGGTTGCTTATCAGCATGCACATTAGTCTCATATTAGCTCTTTATCAGTCATTATTAGCAATTATTAATGCCAGGACCATATTCTACCACTACTAACAACCTGAATCACTGAATATTGATAGTCAGTGAGGAAGTTCATTCAAGGTTCAAGGTAACTTTATTGGTACCCAAAGGTAGATTTGGTTTGCAGTTAAAGACAACAGATAAAGGATAAAGATAAAAGTAAACGTGCTCCAGGCTCTAAAAATCTGTGCTTTCAAAGAGAGATCAAAAATAAAACACTAAGATAAACAAGGAGTAGTATAAATAATGTAAAACTGCAGATAAAAACAATACAAACTCTTCTGCCATGTTACCACAACTATTCAAATACTCCTTCCTTGTTAAAAGCTGCTGCTGCTGCCTCTGACACTATTGATCTCAACTCTTCAGGCTGAAGACGGCTCGGGACGCAGCGTCTCGCAGCGGCTACGCTCTGGCTCTGGGGGCGCTGTACCGATACACCGGAGGCATCAGCTCACCTCAACACCTGTCCACCTGTCTGGGAATCCTGTTCACCCTGAGCCAGGACAGCACCTCGCCCGAGGTCCAGGTACTCGCACACGATTATGATCCTGATTTTTATCTGTTTACTTTACGGACATAAAACCACCCTAACTCTAACTTTACCCCTAAAAGTCTGAAATGTCCCTGTGGTTCTGTCGGGTCCAGACCTGGTCTCTCCACAGTCTGTCTCTGGTAGTCGACTTGTCTGGCGGTTTGTACCGCGCCCACGCTGAGCCGTCCTTTACCCTTGTGCTCCGGCTGCTGCTGTCGGCTCCACCCACCCACCCTGAGGTGCACCACAGCCTGGGACGCTGCCTGCACGCCCTCATCACCTGCCTGGGCCCCGACCTGCAAGGTACGACCCTCGTCTCCCCTGAGCACGGACACAGAGTGGATGTCAGGAGCAGCTGGACTGATGTGTGTGTGTTTCTCAGGTGACGGTGCGGCAGTGTCCGGTCTGCGCTCTAGCTGTCTGGTGGGATGCGGAGTGATGCAGGCCGGTCCAGACTGTCTGGTTCAGGCCAGAGCCATTTCCTGTCTGCAGCAGCTGCACATGTTCTCGCCACCACACGTCAACCTGGCGAGCCTCGTACCGGCTCTGTGTGTGAGTACACCTCAACCAGCAACGTTACTCTGATTTATCTCATAAGGGTTTTATAGTCTACAGCAGTGGTTCTCAACCTGCAGTCCAGGGACCCACAGGGGTCTTTGAGGGGATTTCAGGGGTCTTGAGAAAAATGGGGAATATTTAAGAGTTTGTAACCAGCTGCCAAATGAAATGAAATAAAAATCGAGCGAGCTGGCTGCATTAGTCAGTAATAACAGCTGCTTACTCTTGCACTTACTTGATGTTTGGCTGTTAGCAAAGTCACTTTGCTGCCACCTCAGATTATTTTCTCTGGAGGACAAATATCTGATCTCAATGAGAATAACGAGAACGCATTAAAAATACCAGGTGTAAATGCAAAGTTTATTAACCGGGTACAGATTATTAGTCTGACTGTAAACGCGGTGATGATCTCTGTGTGGGACAGACGAGTGAACAGTGAGTGTGTGTTTGACCCTGTCTTGTGTCTTGCAGGAGATCTTGTTGGATTATTCCCTGTTGGTAGGTCCTCTCTCTACGGCCCGAAGCTGCTGTTTGTCTCACTTTTCTTTTCAGCTTCTTTCTCCCTCAGCACTTTTCTGTTGCTGTGGAGCTTTTTAACACTCCGTGGATGATGAAAGCGTTTTCTGTTGCACTGAACCTTAACATTTTCCTCTTGGTTTTGATACTGTATTAACTCACTGTTGTTGCTTCACATTTTTGTTTTTTTGTGTGGCAGCTCAATAATAACATTAACAGCTGCATTAACACCCCCCCCCCTTCCCGCTGGCTGTTTACCTCCTACAGTGAAACTACTCAGTGTTTCCTCTAGAGAGAGCTCATAAATTAATCTAATTATTATTACTAAGATTAATCTTGTGAATTAGGGCTGCAATTACAAATATTTTTTTCATTTTTGATTAATCTGTTAGTCCATAAACTGATAGAAAATATTGATCACAAGGTGTCTCGTTTGTCCACAGCCCAAAGATATTCAGTGATGAAAACACTTAAAATATTCACATTTGAGAGGCTGAAGTCAGAGTTTAACAATTTTTTTTTTTTTTAACTATCAGAACAACTTATTAATTTAATAGTTGCCTGATTGATTAATTGACCAGTCGTTGCAGTAATATTGTGAATTTGGAACTGGTCATTTTACTTTCTGTCACTATTTTCTTACATTTTATGGAGTATTTGAGAAAATAATTGTCAGATTAATTAGTAATTAAAATAGTGGCATCTAGTGGTGTAGTTGCAGATTGCCTCTCCCTCGCTTCACCCTCCCTTTCCAAGCCCGAAGGAGAAACTACAGTGGCCATGAAACAGACCCTGTCCAGAACCAGTGTTTGGGTATCGATAGCTCCTCCTCAGTGTGACACACTGGAGCTGAGTCTGGAGGAGACACTGTCTGTAGCTGCATGCTTCCTCTGATAACCTTTAACCCTGTTCACAGAGTACACCTATTAACTCTTTGTGTGTTTCAGGCCAACCTGTGCAGTTCGTACCTGTGTCTGCGGCGGGCCGTGGTGGCTTGTCTGCGGCAGCTCGTCCAGCGGGAGGCTCTGGAGGTGTCTGAACACGCGGTGACTCTGGTCAAAGAGCTGCCGAGACGAGACAACACACAGCTGGGTGAGACGGACGCACAGTTTATTACACGCTGTTAGATACACGTCTGTCCACGCCCTAACCACCCCCCACCCTGTGCAGACGTCACCATAAAGGAGGTGGGTCTAGAAGGAGCTCTGTTCACTCTGCTGGACCGGGAGTCAGATCCAAGCCTGAGGAGGGACATCCAGGAGACTCTGGTCCACATGATGGCGTCCAGCGCCACCAGCGGGAAACTGGGACACTGGCTCAAACTCTGCAAGGATGTCCTGTCTGCAACCACCGGTGGGTTGAATCTGTCACAGAGTTCATGCTTCAAAGCAGGTTTATCAAAGTCTTCATCTGCAGTACACCACGCTTTACCAGAGAGTCTGAGGAGGTTCCTTCAGTGTTCATGGTTCAGGAGGTTTCTACCGGGAGCCCAATGATCCACAGAGGTCTCCTCCTCTCCAAAACAAACAGACCCGCTGATTAAAACCACTAAACACACTGAATAAAGCAGTTCCACCTCAAAAATCACTGCTTCTCCCACGCTGTTGGACAGACAAAGGACGTCCCGGACTATATATATATCACCATAGATACACTAAAGAACAGCAGCACATTATTATTATTAAAACATCATTAACAAAAATATTACAACCAACTATTCAAAATATTCTTCAATATTTAATTTTAAATTATGTTCTTTTTTATTAAAATGTTCCTAAAAGGAATGTAAAAAATTCTGAAAAACGTTTGTTGTTGTTTTGTTGTTGTTTCCAAACCTAGAAGTCTTACAATGTCTTTTTACCAAAGGAAATCGATCAGTTTAAAGCTTCTGGTGAAAGGATGTGACTCATGAACTCTGATTCTCCTTCAGACTGTCGGGCGCCGGTTGAGGCGAGTCAGGAGGACGAGGAGGCGGACCCCACCAGAGACGACGACTCCTCTGCTTTCAGAGCTCGGTCGGAGTCTGGCGGCCCGTTCACCGCCCTCCGCTGGGCCACGCGCCGCTTCGCTATGGAGTGTGTGTGTCGCATCATTGCCCAGTGTGAGACCGCTGACCCGGCTCACTTCGATATGGCCCTGGCTCAGGAGCGACGCCTGCACGAGTCCACCGGTAAGACCCCCACAGTGGCCTCTGTCAGTTGGTGCTTGTGGACACCTCAGACCTCACTGACCTCCTCACTCGACTCCCCGCAGATTTCCTCGTCCTCCATCTCGGCGACCTGGTGCGCATGGCCTTCATGGCGGCGACGGACCACAGCGACCAGCTGCGGCTGGCGGGTCTCCAGACTCTGCTGGTGATCATCAGACGCTTCTCAGCCATCCCCGAACCGGAGTTCCCCGGTCACGTGATCCTGGAGCAGTACCAGGCTAACGTAAGGAGCTTTTATAGAATACAGCAGCTGTGAGAGTACTGAGTGAGATTTCACTGTGATACAATACAGAGAAAATATTCAGAGTGCAGCTGATTATTAAAGTGTGTGCATGTGCGTGTGTGTGCAGGTCGGAGCTGCTCTCAGACCAGCCTTCACTGCTGATGCTCCTCCTGATGTCACCGTCAAGGCCTGCCAGGTAATCAATCAATAATCATTAGAATAATCCTGACAGGGTGCACAATGAATAGAATGATTATTGGAATCACAGAAGGTTCAGTTTATCTGAAGTTAAAACGTGTGACAGAAGCTTCATAACGAAGTGTTGTAGAGATGCAGAGGCAGTAACCAGGTAACCAAACATCAGGACTAAGAATCCGATTAGCTGAAGGTGAATGTCTGAACTCACTCTCCCGTCATTGTGCAGGTCTGCAGCGCCTGGATCGCCAGCGGCGTGGTCAGTGACCTCCGCGACCTGCGGCGTGTCCATCAGCTCCTGGCCTCCTCGTTGGCCAAAGTGCAGTCGGGGAGGGACACGTCCAGCCAGCTGTACAACGAGGCCACGGCTACAATGGAGACACTGGCCGTCCTCAAGGCGTGGGCCGAGGTGGATCACTGGTTTCACTCTTTATTTATTGATTGATTATTAATAATTCAAACAGGAAAGTAAAACTGCTTTATCCTAATGTCCCTCATATCCTTTCTACGGCATGGAGGTCAAATATTTGTTAAACTACGTTCATAAACATCATAAAGGTCTTGAAAATATGAAACCTAACCTCGCTCCTCCTCCTCTCTCA